CAACCCTCGGTTCCATCAACTCATAGCTTATAGATACCATTTTTAGTGCAGAAGGACAATAAAATAGGTAACATTGTAAGTCAGGCCTTACTTCTCACTGACAAGTCGCTACCATATGAATATCTAATATCTGCCAGTTTCATTGCTAAAAAAAATGCTAAAGGCTTAAAAATCCTAAGTTCAAGGTTTCATCAACAAGATTTCCCAAACCAGTATGATACATCACGATGCCTGTGTCCGCCTTTTAAAGTAACAGTGGCTGTATAAACATCTTTTTGTTTACAGAGCCATAATCAGTATGAAATTTTTTATCCAAATTTAGTATCTCATACCAGAATTTCTAATTTCTTAAATTAGTTACATTAGTTTAGAATACAGTTTTTAATGTTTTTTTTTAATTAAGGTGTTTTCTACAAATCTTGCATTTATAAAATGAATTTTGTTGCTTCGTCTCATGTCTGAGCCTACTTGTCTTCACCACAACTGACAGATTTTTCAAAACACTGTAGAAAGATTATTTAGAGGTCCCAGAGAGCATGAATGACCTACCACCATTCTTACTCCTGCAGGGATCAGAGATGGGAAACTGGGCCCTGGGCCACTGGACTGAAGAAGGTTATGACATCTTCCAGAATTTCCCAGATCTAAACAGCATCTTGTGGGGAGCTGAAGACAGAGGCTGGGTGCCTCGTATAGTGCCTAATCATCACATCCCCCTTCCAGAAAACTTTTTGAATGGCTCTGTGAGTTTGTTTACTGTCCTTTGGGATGTTATATATTATGTGTGTGTGTGTGTGTGTATTTTAATTGACTACAAATTTATTAGCAATCTTTATCTCTTTTAGCTTGCAGTTGAGACAAAAGCTGTAATTTCCTGGATGGAGCGCAACCCTTTTGTTCTGGGAGCTAATTTGCAAGGAGGCGAAAAACTGGTCACATATCCTTTTGACATGCAGCGCCCACCAATTTCTGTATGGCTATTTTACTAAGAACACCTAACAAAAGCACTCTTTGGCAGCTGCACACTTATATAATAATTCTATGCTGTCTTAATGTTTAAGCTAACTGACAATCGTCGTTGGAGAAATAATGCAGAAATGAACGAGGACACCTGGGCTCGCATTCAGCGCCAGAATGAGGGCGCTCTGAGGGAGACTCCCGAAGACGCCATGTTTCGGTGGTTGGCAATGTCATATGCCCACAGCCATCTAACCATGACAGAGACCTATCGAGGCTCCTGCCATGGAGATGATATCACTGGAGGACAGGGGATCACTAACAGAGCCACCTGGAAGCCAGTGGTGGGAAGTAAGTGTTAACATGACACAGCAAAAAGGTCGTAACTGAAAAATATTTCAGTCAAGACCATTAAGGGGTCTTTCTGTCTCAAATCATCACCTTAGAACATCTCCTGATCGACCATCTCCTGTTTGCATAAAAAGTTTATGGTCCAAAGTTTGACCATTTATAATTTTACAATATTGCTGGAAAATGTACATTTTTATGTGTCTTTCCTAATTTATTATCATCATTGTGATGGTAAGAAAAACCAGTGAAAATGTCATGTCAAATGTCTTTATTAATATGACAATCATTATAAATGTTTAGGGTTTGTCATTTTTAATTAAATTTTTTATGCAAATCAGAAACAGTGGACCAGAATTCTATCACAAGATTTATCCTTAAATATCAAGGTTATCAAAAGGCTATTTTTGTGTTAACGAGGCACTTGGACGAGAGCTCCTCCTGCTGCTTATGCAGTTTCTATGTAAAGAATACAATGATGACAACCCAAGAG